AAGCAACTTGACAGGCTAGGATAAGTTAACTGGGGCATCTTGACCTCCTGTTCCTAGAATAGAGCTGGATAATTTTCCACAGGGCTTCCCATCAAGGAGATCAAATCCTAGTTAAACCTAAAAACGCCTTAGAAGGAATACAAACTGAAGGAACCTCTGTACTGTCTTGCACTGTCGCGAACTAAATTATAATTTTCTCAGGTGGAATAGGTCAGAAGACCAGGAAAAATGTTCACATGATACAGGGACAGTTAGGATAAAGCTGTTGGATTGTAAGGATGAGGATCTAAGACTAGGGCACAGCTACGCTAGGGATGCACCTCAGTGGTAGGGTATTCGTGTAGTCATACCAGGTTGCTTAGAAAGATCTTCCAGGCTAGAGAGATGGCTCAGAGATTGATTAAGAAAGAGATCATTCGTGGCTAAATTTGTTGGATTTAATCAAAGGAACAGGTCTGGAGGTGGGGAATACATTCGTGAAGATGTGGTATAACTGTGATGCCCATCCAAATGTCTACAAAAAGGAGAAAGCCAGAGTCACTGCAGACAAGAAGAACTTCAAGGCCATGGCAGTCTTCCTATAACCCTGGGCCAATACCAGTTCTTTGGCTTGTGAGCAAAGAGGGCCAAGGAAGCTATAGAGCAAGGTGTTGAAAAGAAAAAGTAATGCACTGATGAAATGTTGCAAAAAGTTTCCATAAAGCAAAAAGTAAAGAAAATGCTTGTGATCTACCAGCCTCTTATCCAAGGACAGATAGTTCCTGAAATGCTGAAGGCTATTGTTTATGGGAGATAGATAACAAGCCATGCATTTTCATTCCCCTGAATAACTTTGTTTGACCCATCTAAACTGGATGTGCTTGATAACTTGTGGGTGGGAAGTTCACAGGCAGGATGTTTGTTTGCCACTGGTTGGATGTAGGCTGGAGTTACATCAGGATGTATGCTTGCTCCTGATTGAACCTAATAGGAAATGCAATGAATTGTGGGTTTTCCTTTTAAGCCCTTGCAAAAGTTGATTGAGGCCATTTTTCTGGGGAACCAAAGATGGACCTGGCCAGTATTTAATTAAAACTTGCTTCAAATTTGGCTTTAAACTGTGGTTGTAGGGGGCTGGAGAGATGGCTCAGCATTTAAAAACACTGGCTTCTCTTCTAGAAGTCCTGAGTTCTATTTCCAGCAACCACATGGTGGCTCACAACATTCTATAATTGGTTCTGATAGCCTCTTCTGGCATGCAAACATACATGCGGACAGAACACACATACGTATAATAAGTAAATAAATAAATAAAAACAGTGGAGAAAGTCATAAAGTGATGCTGAAATGAACCACTCACCACAAAAATAAATAAATAATCTGTGGTAGTTGTCTTACTCTCGATCGGTGGGATTAATAGTGGTTGCATCAAGTAACGACATTTCCCTCCTTCCTGAAGTTGTTTATCAAGGCTGTCCCAACAGATATTTCTTTCTAGGATGACCACTTAAATCCAAGCATGATTATCTGTAACCTTATAGGAATCCCATGCTATAGGTGAGGCGCTCTGTCAGTCTGCCTATCTGCCTGTTGCCATGCTTCCTGCCATGGTGGTAATGGACTCACCCTCAGAACTGTAAACCCCATATTAAATGCTTGCTTGCTTGCTTGCTTGCTTGCTTGCTTGCTTGCTTCCTTCCTTCCTTCCTTCCTTCCTTCCTTTTCTTCTTCTTCTTTCTTTTTCTGAGACAAGGTTTCTCTGTAGCTTTGGTACCTGTCCTGGAACTCAGAGATCTGCCTGCTTCTGCCTCCCGAGTGCTGAGATTAAAGGCATGTGCCACCACTGCCCTGCTAAATGCTTTCTTTTATAAATTGCCTTGGTCATGGTATCTTTTTACAGCAGTAGAAAAGTAAAATAGATGCCGGGTGGTGGTGATAGCGTTTAATCCCAGCACCTGGGAGGCAAAGGCAGGTGGATCTTTGTGAGTTCAAGGCCAGTCTGGTCTATAGAGCGAGTTCCAGTACAGGCACCAAAACTACACAGAGAAACCCTGTCTAGAAAAACAAAATAAAAACAAAAACAAACAAAAAATAAGACAATAGCTTACATAAAAGCATCTGGCAAAACTATTTGTGAGATTCGGTAAGGTCTAACTTGTATTATCATGTGGAAGTGTTTTGTTGTTATTTTGTTTGTATGTATATGAGTACTCTATTGACTTTATGCTGGAAGAGGACATCAGATCCCACTTTAGATGGTTGTGAGCCACATGTGGTTGCTGGGAATTGAACTCAGAACCTCTGGAAGAGCTGCCAGGGCCCATAACCACTGAGCCATCTCTCCAATCCTTGTTTTGTTTCTTTTGAGACAGGGTTTCTCTACTAATGCAATTATAGCTGCCCTGGAACTCACTTTGTAAATCAGGCTGGCCTGTAACTCAAGAGATCTGCCTGTCTCTGCCTCCTGAGTGCTGGGATTAAAGACGTGTGCCACCAGGACCAGCTCTGGTAGAAGTACTTGATCCAGAAAAAATGAAGTCTTCGGAGAGAATGTGCTTACAGAGAGGGACAGGAATATAAATTCAGGATTTGGCAGTAGTCATATATAAAGGCAAGCAAGTAAGAGGAAGTACACATGATGGTCTGAGAGCTAAGGGATTGGGAATTTCTGGGAAAGTCTCATTTATAAATGTCAAATGAGGCCAGGCAGAGTGGTCTGTGCCGTTAATCCAAGTATTTGGGAGGCGGAAGCAGGAGGATATTTATAAATTTTAAGGCAAGCCTGCTTTATGTGCCGAGTTCCAGTCTAACCAGAGCTACATAGTGAGACCCTGTCTCAAAACAAAATTAAATGTGGCTGAACATGGTGGTGTACACCTGCTGTGGTAGTAGATGGAAGACTGGAAGATCCCAAAATCGAGGTCAGCCTGTGTTATATAGCAGTAACCTCTCTCAACACTATACTTGGAAAAAGAAATGGAGGGAGGGAGGCAGGAGGAGAAGTAGAAGAGTAAGAAAGGCAGAGAGACTGACTGGCCCAGAGAAAGTCGGGTGTAAGATGAAGACCAAACACTGTTGAATGCGGTCTTCTTAATTGCTTTTGTTTTTATTTTTTAAGACAAGGAAGGTCACTATGTAGTTCAGACAGCAGGCCTCCTGCCTCATTCTCACTGACTTCTAGGTGAAAATTGCCAGGACCTGCTTAAGAGTAGAGAAGTAAAGAACAATGCCTGTCTTCTCAGTGTGCCCATGGTGTGGAACACCCAGCTGTAGGAATCAACTGCTTTGAAGTAGGCTCCAGCCTAAATGATAAACGAAGTGGGAGGCACAAAGGAAGTAAGGTCTTCCCATTATAAGAGCAAGTTGTATAAATAAGACAAGAAATAGGAATGTAGGGCTGGAGAGATGGCTCAGTGGTTAAGAGCACTGGCTGCTCTTCCAGAGGTCCTGAGTTCAACTCCCAGCAATCACATGGTGGCTCACAACCATCTGTAATGAGATCTGGCGCCCTCCTCTGGCATGCAGGCATACATGGAGGCAGAATGTTGTATACATAATAAATAAATAAATCTTTAAAAAAAAGAAATGGGAATGTAGGGGGAGAAAATTTCATAACTTTTGTTGATTTATTGATAGAAGGCTTTTTCTGGGTATTTAAATCTCATGATAATGATGGGAAAGATAATAACAGCTGTGATGAGATATGTAGAGGCTGAGGAGTTCTCTTCATGGTCTACAATGGTGGTAGCAGTGGTGGCAGTGGTGGTGGGGTGGAAGGGTACTGTACTTCTTACCAGCAAATAGGCTTTTTACTTCTCTCTTCCTTCTGCCTTCAGTAGTCAGCTTTTATAATTGGGTTGACACCATGAAAATGAAACCTGTTACTATGTCTCCTCCCTAGGAATACTGACAGAGCCCAGAGCTCTAGAACTACTCTGCCTAAGTTTGCCTGACGTGACTCCTACCACTCCAAGCACTCTTTCCTGTAGGAGGGTAGCACTCCACATGTCTTCTTTTCTAAAAAAAAAAAAAAAAAAAAAAATTATTTATTTATTATTTATTTATTATGTGTACAATATTCTGTCTACATGTAAGCCTGCAGGCCAGAAGAGGGCACCAGACCTCATTACGGGTGGTTGTGAGCCACCATGTGGTTGCTGGGAATTGAACTCAGGACCTTTGTTAGAGCAGGCAATGCTCTTAACTTCTGAGCCATCTCTCCAGCCCCCTCCACATGTCTTTCAGTTCTGCTTTTTTGCTTCTTGCCAGCCCTAAAGACTGCTGGCACCCAGTGTCTAGAGTTGGGTGGTAAAGCCGTGAGTTGCTTTCTTATTCTTTTAAGGTTAATCTCAGGCCTTAGAACCTAGAAGCACCATTGTAAAAATGACTCCTTTATAATAAAGGCTAGAGAACTTTCTTCTTGCAGTCCCAGTGTGTCAGGACATTAATGTAAGAGGAAGGCAGGCTGTTTATCTCCTGTTTTTCTTCAGCGTCAACAAAAGGTCCCCATATCCTTCAGTGGAAAACATAGGGAGTCTGAAGAGATGACTCAGTCAGGCTTGTTAGTCCTGAGCACTCTCGCCTGCTCCTCCGCTTGGTTTGTCTGGGATATCTGCAGTAGAAAAAAACAGCTTGCATGGTTGAGCCAGCCAGTGCCCAGCATCCTGGCCCCTAAGCTGGAGGTGGGTTGATGGAGTTGTCATGAACACAGCTCCTTCTGTGCTGGGTAGTTATTTGCCACTTTTTTGAAATGGTTGCCTTCACATTACAAATGCTTTTAGTAAGTGTGTGGATAAATGTTAACTTCATAAGTATATAAGACAGCTCAGCAGGATATGAGTTAAGACATTTAGGGTGTTGTCTTATTGCTTCAGCACTGTGGAGTTTTTGAGTAACACACTGTGTTACATGATTTGACTGAATACAGGCCAAAAAAGCCTCAACTTGGTTTCATTGGCTTAAATATAGTTCAAAGCAATAGACACAGAGTTCAGACGAGGAAGTACTATACAGTACAGGAAGTGAGAGCCTTTAAAGATAATTTGCTCTCATATGCAAGTAACTGCCCAAGTCCTGATAAGTAAGTTGAAATAAGTAGAAAAACTAGAATAGAGATCCTCTATTCTACACTAAGAGAGAGTGTGGAGACCCCGTACCTGAATGCCTCCACGTCTCTGCTGACTCTGCAGAGGTGGTTTGTGTGGACAAAGTGACTGGAGTAGAAGATTCAAGACCGGACAGAAGAAAAGGACCTGACACACAGGGTATTGTTAAATGACTGCAGTTGTTTTCTGTCTACCTATCTTTCTCACTTATTTAAAAACAAATGTGAAAGATACTTGTTTAAATTCTCAAGAACCTTTGTCCTTGCTGTGCTGGGAAACACGCAACGATAATGAGTCAAAAATTGTTTATTCATTATCCTGTGAAACTGTTTAGAAGAAGAAAGGCCATTCTTTGATTTAGTTTGGTTTGATTATTTTATTTTTGAGAAAGAATCTTAAGTTGTAACCTTTAACTATACTAGTTAAAACCTTCCCCCTCCGACAGAGGGCAATGGTTTTGATTCTTTTTATAGATAATATTTTTAATTATTAAGTGCATATGAAAGTAACTTTATGTCCTTGTGGTTTTAAAGGGAAGAGCAACCGTGCTCTGTGTTTGGCACTTTAGGTACTATGGAAGATTATACTAGGAAAGACTTGAGTCATGCTTTTTGGTTGTGTTATATTAATTTTTGTTTGTTTGTTTCTTTGTTTTGATTTTCAAAACAGGGTTTCTCTGTGTAACCCTGGCTATTCTGAAACTTGCTCTGTAAATAAGGTTAGCTTCAAAATCAGAGATCATCTGCCTTTGCCTCCTGAGTGCTAGAATTTAAGGCACCCAGCATGTTATAATAGTTTTTCAACCATAAATCTTACCTGTGATCTTTGGAAAGAGAACTGTTTCGTTTTATATTTAGTGATCTTTTGTCCTTGTTATGGTAGGGAAAATGTAGCCATAACTAGTCAAAAAGAATTGTTCTTCTTCATTCATTAGCCTGTAAAACTGCTTTAAAAGGTTTTTGTTTGTTTGTTTTGCTTTTGTTTTTATTTTTGTTTTGTTTTGTTTTACTTTGCTTTTTATTTTTGAAACAGAGTCTCTATGTAGTTATAGCTGTCTTGGAACTGGCTATGTAGATCAAGTTGGCCTTGAACTAACAATCTAACTGCCTCTACCTTCCAGATGCTGGGATTAAAAGCGTGTGCCATCATGCCTAGCTTATTTGTTATTCTCTACTACTGAGCTATTGCCCCTGCACATGGTCACTTTTAAATTTGTGAATTAACAGTAAGATATCGATAAGGGTCTTGAAAAAATGGTCAGCAGCCAAATCCCACCCTCCTTGAGACAAGGTCTTATGTAGCCCAGGCTTGCCTCAGACTTGAGAATGACTTTGAACTTCTGATCTTCCTGCCGCCACCACACCTACGTCATGTGGTGCTGGCTGTTGAACCCAGGCCTTCATGTATGTTAGGAAAGCTCTTTATCAGCTGAGCCACATCTCCATCCCTGCAACTAGAATTTGCAAGTTATTTTTAGTTACTATCTAACGCATGGACCTGTGTGTGTGTGTGTGTGTGTGTGTGTGTGTGTGTGTGTGTGTAGTTGAAAGGGATAGGTAGACAGTAGTGTGCATGAATAAATAAGACAACTATGGGAGTGATGATAGATTTGTTTAGGAAATACACCCTGGTCTCCCTTAGAGTGAATTCTTTGGAATTGATTTGAGTATAGAAAAAGGAACAAGATTGGAATTCAGTCCTATAACATGATCCCAAGATCTCTGAGTTAACTTCAGAAGCATACTCACAGAAATCAAAGTAGATATGTATCAAGAACACACCATTGCTGAATGCAGTTTTCCCTGTGATTTTAGTGGGGGCCAAAGTGGTGTATTTCCTTTGACAACATTATAGATGAAGCATTTGATCTCCAAGTGAAATTTGTCAGGCTAGCAAGAGACCAGGCCAGAATTCTGGTCCAGACAGCCTCTCATTCCCCTTGCTGCATGAGAAGTGAAAAGATTGGAGGATTTCTTCCCCGAGTTTAAATATGGTCAGCTTGTTATCAGCACCTCTTCCAAGTTCTCAGGGTGCTTTCTGGGCTTCATGTCTCTGTTCAGTAAATGGGGCTTGTTATAGATCCAGAAAGATACAGTCCAGTAAAAATGCAATGTGAGCCCTGTATGCACTTTAAGATTTTCTAGTAGCAGTGTTCAAAATGCAAAAAGATGGCAAGAAAAGTTAATTTTCATTGTATACTTATTTAGTTCAATATTCAAACTGTTACTATGTCAAGCTATATAGATGGGTATATGACCAGTAATAAGTATTCTAAATTACTGAGATAGTCTTCTGTATATTTTACACAATAATGCATTTCAATTCATGTTAGCCACATTTTAAGTTGAAACGTGTGGTGTGTGACTATAAATGAGAAAACATAACTCTAAGAAAAAGACAATCATCATCTAAGTTAATCAGAAGCAGAGATCCTGCTTTAAAAACCAGTGTGGCCAGGGGAGCAGCTTTGTCTAACTGGGAAAGCTTTGGAGGAAAGGTACCCTACTGAGAGGGCTGGACTGTTCTGTAAAGGGATGTGTATGGCCATATCAAACAGACAATAGGCCTTCCGCCTGAGGACTATTTATAGAGAGCCAAGTCTGAACCCCTTTATCACCCCCGTAATAACCCCAGGAAAACCACAGTGTTGCCTGTGAGATACTGAACTGTCTTTATCTGGGGTGGCAGAGTATGTGTGCTGACCAGTTTGCTCATGGCCAAGCATGGAAACCCCAGTCTTTGATGTATGGGTATGTTTTGCCTAAGATTTTTCTCCCAGTGCTGTTTTCAGATGGAAACTATAATGTCTAAGAAAAGAAATGTGAACAAGCTACTGTAAGTGGAAATTTCCAGACCTTCATTCGACCTGGAGCAATGTAAATAATAGTTGTAGGTTATGTCCATCCAGAGATCGTCTTGTATTTGTCAGTTCTTCAGTCAGTCCAACCATAGTTGTTACTTTAAAAAAGGTTGGGCCTTACCCTTCGTCTTCTTGCTTCCTGTGACTTGTTTCCTTGTGTCTTTGTCCCACAGAACCTCTGCCATTCCATTATACTTGTTGCTTGGGGTTTGGTGTTAGTTTTTTAGTTGTTTTGTAGTATTGGCACACACACACACACACACACACACACACACACACACACACAAAAGAACACCATCCAAAAAACAGCTCTCACCTTGAAGAAAATGAGATAATTTTTTTCTGAAGTCATTTTGAGTGACCATAGCCTAGGAAAACAGACTTAGGTTACCCCAGTTTCATAGTTTTACAGAACAAAGAAAAACATAAAGATAGGCAAGCCTTTGTTTGTTTGTTTTTGTTTTTCGAGACAGGGTTTCTCTGTAGCTTTGGAGCCTGTCCTGGAACTAGCTCTTGTAGACCAGGCTGGCCATGAACTCATAGTTCTGCCTGCCTCTGCCTCACGAGTGCTGGGATTAAAGGCTTGTGCCACCATTGCCTGGCTGAGTTAGGGAAGTCTTAAGTACCCTTGGTGGGTATATCTTTGAGGGGTTACAAGATGGGGGAAACTTGTCTGTAGGCCTAAGATGCTATCCGATGGCATTCTTAGCTTTTGGGCTGGTGGAAGCCAGTAGTCTGCTAAGTTAATAGATTCCAAAAGGTTTGTATCTGTCAGTCACAGGAGGCTAGATCTAACACAGAGGTGGGCAAGGAATGGCTGTTCTGGGGAATAAAGCTAGCCTAGGATAAGGCAATTCCTCTGGACCTGCAACATCCCAGCCTCTCCACAGCCCTGCAGTTCTAGTCAGTCAGTCAGTCCTGCAGACAGCTTCTTTTCAGGAGTTATTGTGTAGAGACAGTCATCTTAAGACACCCTAAGACCAAGTTCTTAGCACAAAGATTTATTTCCACCAGAGAGGCAAAGGGCAGAGAATAAGAGACAAAGACAGGAGATAGAGGACAAGGGAGAAGGGGAAGGGAACAAGAGAGAGATGGAAGGGGTATTTAGCCCAGAGGGACAAAGGACTGCCTCTGGATGAGAGATATACATGGCCCATGGGCAAATGGTGGTTTATAAAGGTAAAGGGAGAAATCCTGTTAGGACGAAGGTTTGTTTGTTTTGTTTTGTTTTGTTTTTAAATTGGGCATGTTAGTTAGGTGAGCCAAAAGAGGCTTTGGATTTCAGGTCTTCGATCTTTTTTTTTTCTCCGGTTTTTTGAGACAAAGTTTCTTAATAGCCCTGGCTGTCCTGGAACTCACACTCTGTAGGCCACGCTGGCCTTGAACTCAGAGATCCTGTTTGCCTCTGCCAGTGCTGGAACTAAAGGTGTGTGCCACCACCGCTGTCTAATTTTGGTACTTTGATAGCTGGACCTTGGATAGCATCAGAAGGAGGAAGTGGCCAAATAAAGGAATAGACTCGATGGCTAGCTTTAGAAATGTAGTCTAATGATTTTGAGCAAGGCCAAGGAAATGGGGGAGAAGGGCAAGGCCTGCCAGAACTGTGTTGATCAGGCCTAAGCTGGCTAGAGTCCCTTCGTCTTGTTCACAGTAGTAAGCTATGTAGGAAGTTTGGTTCTCTTTGGTGTGAGACTTTAACTCTGTTCTCTTCATCTGAAAATGAAAAAGATTAGGGCCCTCATTTTGCATCTTGAAAATTTTATATTGTGACTAAAACACTTAACAAGTGAGACTTGCTGGCATGCCTTGGATTCAGAAGTTGTAGGTAAACTGGGGGTGGGGGCCTCATATAACTTACAGGAAGCTTCTAGTAGTTATATAAGCAATAAACAGTTGCCAAGCTTCACTCTGGTGAAGCGTCCAGGAATACAGCTTTAGTAATATTCCTCCAAGTAGCTCCAGTAAACTCACCGGTGAGCCAGTTTCTTTGGTCTGTCATTAGTGCCTGTTTGGAGTAAATTACATAAAATTTGAGTGTTTTTTAATTTAATTTAACATATATAAGGTGTGCTTGGTGCTCATGAAGGCCAGAAGAGGGTGTTGGATCCCCTGGAACTGAAGTTTCAGACTGTTGTGAGTTGTCATGTGGCTGCTGGAAATTGGAAATCAAACCTGGGACCTCTGGAATAATAACCATTGCTCTTAATGCTGAGCCATCTCTCTCATCCCCATTTGAATGATTTTTAAGTTTAATAATGTTAAGCAAATTCATATTGTTGTGCAGCTCTCGTCACCATGC